AAAAAAAAAAAAAAAAAAAAAGAAAGCATATTTTAACAGATATTTCCTGGTCAGCTATGTAATGCCTCTGGGAATCCTTTGATGATATTTTGAATCTTCATAAAACTTACACTCAGGTCTCAGAAGTGCATATTTGAACTTTTCAGAAGGAAAGAGTTAGGCAGCATCAGATGAAAAAAAAAAAAAAAAAAAGATAAAAAAATCAAGTCTTCCTTTATCTCACCAGGGCTTTCTTCCCTACCTGCTCGCATCTGTTTTGGAGCAAGGTGGAGCACATGTTTGTGTCTGGTTGCAATGAAAGCCTAGTGGGAGCCGAGATGCCCACGTCCAAGCAAGCTGTGTCAGCATCCCGCGGCTCCGCTGCCAGGATATCGGCTGCTGGGAAAGGCAGTCCGGCGTCGTACCACAAGGTGGGGATGCTACAATGCTGAACGGCAGCTCCGGCCAGGGCTGATTTCATGTATCCGGATGAGCTGCTCAACTCCTCATGGCCAGAAAGGCCAATAGCCACTTAACCATGTAGTCCACTGCCTGGGAATTTCCCCTTTGCTGGTCCACTGTGTAGCCCTGTGGCATTAAAGGTTTTGGAAGCAGCAGAGCARGTGCAGCCTGGTGCTGGCAGCTTGAAGGCTTTTCCCTTTGCAGGGAAAGACTTTTCCAGGAGTGAAGGGGAGCAGCAAGGCCCTGGGATTAAGCAAACCTCTCCCTTTGGAGGGCTCTAATGCTCAGCGCTCTGGCTCCAGCTGAGGCAGACGCCCGTCCTCCCCGTCCACGAAGGCACCTCGCTGCAGCCGGAGCCTCCGCGGGCAGGGACAGCGGGACAGCATTCCCAGCTCCCCGAGCACATGTCACAGCCTGTGTCCTCCAGAGCACAGTGCAACCCTCAAGCAACAAGGGGACGTTTCCCTCAAGTGCACTAACCCTTGTGACCAAGGCAAGGGTTCCGGGAAAGGAAACCCGTCGGAGCTCTTTCTTTGGGAGAGGAAGGGCAGGAGGTTGTTCCCTAATTTCACATATTCTGCTGTCATGTGCACTACTCGTCGCCAGTGCCAGGTCTCACTTTTGCCGGATTACCTGTCCTCCACCAAGCCTGGGGTCTCTGCCACAGCTGACAGCTCCTTGGAATCCCTGCAGGTGCATTTGGAGCTGGTGGCCTTTGGCCACGAGCTCATTAGCCCCAGGGACCTTGTCTCAGGTACCAGCGGGTAGTGCCCTGGCTGACACACTCRGCACAGGAAAACAACAGTGGTGACACTCCGTGGAAGAAGTGGGAACTTTATTATAGTCTTCAAATATGTAAGAGGTTATTATAAATAGGGCAGCAGTCAAATGCTCTCTGTATCTACCAAGGGTAGGAGAAAATGAATGAGCTTAGTATTTAGCAATACTAACATAGCAATTTAGCTTAACATTAGGCATTCAGAGAAATTAAAAAAAAAAAGAACAAAAGAAACACACTTTCTATCTGTAAAGTTAATTAAACTTTAGGACGATTTACCCAGGGAGGTCTTGGAGTCCTTGGCTTGGAGGCCTTTGAGCTTTAAGAGCAGGTTGTAGAAACACCTGGCAGGAGTCATCTTAAGGCTCTCTCAGAGCTACTTGTTCTGCATTCATGATTTTAAGATTGCCCTCCTTGTCCCTGTCTGCACCTCTCACGCCAACAGCCAGGTGTCCCCTGGGCAGCTTCTCACACGGGGCTGCAGGGATGGGGACTCCTGGCCAGAGGARGCTGAGGGTCCTCCAACAGGGTGCAGGTTCAAGCAGAGGTGGCACATGTTCATGGAAATACATGAAATACTTGGAAATAATAAATAAAAATACCTGGAAGTCCTTGAACAGCTAGAGGCTCAGACAACATCYAGAAAATACTGCAAATATGTTCTTATACTCTGTTTTTTCTCTGTTCTTACCACTCTTTTCTCAGTCCCTCTTTTTGGTCACTTTCAGAGACAGGTTTGATGAGCTACTGATGACTTTAGTTCTGAGGCAATGGGTTCTCTTATACCCATATATTGAGTGAGGAGTTGAATGAGATTGAATAGGGCTCAGCAAATTAACAAGTGTATTCTAAATCAGTGCATGTTTCTCCTGAAACCCTCTCTCTGCCATTTAAGTTGTCCTTTGGAGCCTCTTACGGGTGGTCCACAGATCCCCATGCTGAAGCCTGCAAGAAAAGCTTGAAGGCACAAGAAATAAGATGCATAGGAGCTGGGCTATAGCAGACATATAAAAATACTTCATGAGTATTTTCACTCTATCCAAGTGCCCAGGGTCTAGATTTTGCTTTATGAGCGCGATAGAAAAGTTACATTCAGATTGCAGCAGAGAAAGTTATCCCTACCTGTTATTTTATTTACAGACAGCCGAGGAGATGAAGGCGTTCATCTGTGACTGCTTTATTGCTGGGCCCAGCCATCCCAAAATGAATCATCAAATACAGCACTTGATCTTTTATCACTTTATTCTTTCGCTCATCCGTGTGGTATGAAACACTAGCGTCATGGCTGGAAATCATGTCATTGGCAGGGGCTGGGATTTCTTTGCCATGGTGCTGTAGATCTCTCTGAGACAGTTTGTATACACCAGAAAATTAGAGGCACTTAACTTTTTTATATGTATATATATATATCCCAGAAAGCCACTCTTTTTTGTTGTTGTTGTTGTTTGGTTGCTTTTTACAGTSAAGAAAGTTCAAAACCTCCTTCAAACATCCTTCTAGTTCAGTTTCCATTCTTACTGCCTGCAGAATTTGGAAGTACACAGTGGGTTTTTTCCCAGGGAAAGCACGTGGCTGAGTTGCACTGGTTGTTGCCTCTCYGCACCCAGCCCTGCCCTTGCAAACTGGGTTTCTTCTTAACTGTCGCTGCATTTTTTTTTTCTGAAGAAAAAGAAACAATAAAACTCCCTAATAACCCCCCAACCAACTACTATTGCTCATCTCAGCTGTTTTTTTTCCTCCACAGGGAAGGACAGAGGCATCAGAGGACACTAAGCAGTGAGGACTTCCCGTGCTACCAAAGCTCTCTGCAACTAAACCAGGAGAGAAAYAGGAAGAGCATTAAAATGGAAATAGTCTGGAATTGTTTACATCCTCAATGTCTTTCCCATAGTTCCATCCAAAAAAAAAAAAAAAAAAATGCTTTCAGATTATGGATGGGAGAACAGAGCCTTTCCCTACTTTGCTGAAAATTGCTTAATAAACTACTCTCCTTCATAGCCAGACTTTTCAGGGCACTCCTGGACAGGTGCATCTTCATCCATTAGCCTTTTCCTGTAAGTTATGCCCTTTTCAGCTAACTAAATTATATTTCAAGGAAGGTGCCTGTTCTCATATTATTTTAAAGCAGGAAGGGTCTTGGCAGGGTGGGCAGCATGAAAAAAATAATAGCAGGCTAATGAAGAGTGGGAGGGAAGGTGATTCGCCTGCTATTTGTAACACGAGGCCTGATAAGAGGTTATTAGTCATTCAAAAGCAGCGAATGACTTTAATTAAAATTTGAGCTTTGCAAGCTGGTTAAAGAGGCTGCTGAGCAGACTTGCAGGGAAATAAAGACAGAGAGAAGGAGAGGAAGCGAGTGGGAGTTCAGCAAAGTGACAACGAGCTTAATTAAAGTCAAGAGGGACCCTGGCAAACTCTAATTTCCGGCTATCATCGTGTTTTTCTTTTAACCCAGTGCTCCAGAAGCTGTCCTGGCTACAGCACTGGCCTGCACTGAGGAGGTAGAGGGTGGAGGAGGAAATCCCTGGAAAAGGACTATCATTGCATTGGTTTTAAAAGAAGGAAATCAATTTGGAAAAATGAAGGTGAGAGATCTGCACTGCGAAGGGGTAAACTTGAGACTTCCCCATCCCAGCTTCTCCCTGGAAGGCTGCATCTCTGTTTATGCCAGGATGCTGAAATGCTTTGATTTGTGTAAGCGGAGCAGCTGCTGGGCATGCATGGGCTGCTTTGGGCTGCAAGGGGAAAGGCAAATTTTTCTCCCCTGCTATTTGGTATATGCAACATATCACTGTTACATAATGTGACCTTAATGTCAGCCCAGGACACAGCATGGGACTAGGACGTGCTTGTTTCCTGAGGCTGGAGATGTTTATACCTACTAAACTTATTTTATTGTATGTGTTGCAAGCCAATGTTCAGGAAAAAGTAAAAAGAAAAATATTTTTTTTCTAAAAAAAGTGGTTTTGTGTAAGTAACTGGTAGAAAAATGTGCGAACTTCAAGGTATTTATTGACAGRTGAGGAAGCTGAGCTTTGAGTCCCGAGTCTGTAACAAGGACCCCAAGGAAGAGCTTAACACCCTGAGACCATCCACACTGCATGTCCCCTYTCCTGATAGGGTCAGGCCCCTGGGGTCATCATATCAGACCTTGCATGTGCCAGTTGGGGCTTTTCTTGCCAGCCAAACTCTATTGTCTCTACCAACAACGTTTCTAGGCTGACAAAACACTGCCGCAACCAAGAGATTTCCTGGCTCTGCTTTCCACCAGGAGGTGTGATCTTTCCCCTTCCTCACCAGCAGTCCCACCAGAAACAAATTGCAGGATAGGCTGAGCTCTGCTGCTCTTGAAAAATGCAGCCAGTGTAGAGCTGTGCCGAGCTTCCCATCTGCTTGTTGTTAGAGGGGAATCAGGGTCGGGAGCGTCACATATTCAAGGTGGAGGATGAAATCTGTGACCTTGCGCCTCTTTTGGTTCACTTCAGTTTAGGGTTTTGCTCTCCTTGCTGTTAATTTTGAGAGAGAAAAAAAAAAAAAGTGGGGACAAATTTTCAAAAGCGGCTTTTAATTTGGTGCTTCAGGATGCCTGGGTAGGGAAAGGAGCAGAGAAAAACAGTAAGCTCAAGCCTTATAAAGAGATGAGATGCTCTTGGATCTCGTTCTTCAAATACTCAGCTGGCTGGCTGATGGGAAGAACCTTGAAGGTGAGGTGACATTCAGAAATTCAAGCTCATTTCTGCTTTGACCATTTTTTCCCTAATGATGTCAGCCACTGGACTGTCTCTCTCTATAAAAGTATGTCTTTGTTTAGCTTTCTCTCAATAGTTCTAGATGGGATAGCATCTAATGCATTGATTTCTGGCATATGCATTTATTGGCATGCTGACCTCTTTTTTAATATTCTCCCCACCCAGGGCCACTTCATCAATCCACAATCCTTAAGCAGGGATCTTTAAATGCACCACAAATGAGAAGGCAGGTTACTTTCTTTCTAACCTAAAGCAGGGGTCTTCTCTYCCAGGTTTTCTTAGCCCTCTACAAAGGTTCGTGCCAAGCCAATCTGAATTCCCTTTCAAAACTCAAACCATGCTTAATGGGAAAGGTATGATTTCATAAGCAGATCCTTGCAAGACTGATGTTGTTCAGACAAAACCTGGTAATGATTAACACRTGGCACCTTGGTCCAAGCCACTCAGCTATGCATTTACATTGTGGTAAAATTGCTTACCTGCCAGGTGGAATGGTGCAATTTAATTAAATTAGGAGAGATAGAAACCCAAGGCAATTGCCATATCTTTTTATTGACATGAGAATCTCTAATTTTTTTGCAATGTCTTTTTTAATGTTTTTGGCAAGGAAGGGGTCTGAAAGCCTTGCCTTGAGGTTGCTGCAAATCTCTTTCAGATGTGGATAGGAAAGGGATGGGCGTGAGGCCATCTGGCTCTGCCTCCAACCCACTGGGCTGACCTCCCTTATCAATCCTCCATGCGCCAAGCGCTGGAAAACCCAGCGCACATCCCACACCTTCCCAGCTCTGCAGTTCCAACGCTGAAATCTTGGACAAGAAGGAATAAGAGCAGGTGTGGGAGGCCCTCATCATGTCTTCGAGGAGGTCCCCAGGTCACCATGCTGACTCTGGTCTCTGAAGAGCATCAAGAAGGACTTGTGAGGACCACCAAAACTCTACGAGACTTCTAGCCAATATCCTCAGTGCCCTTCTGCTCCCGTGACCCCAAAAGCAGGCAAGGAAACCCTCTGTTTTGGTGCTATCTCTGCAACTCCTCTTCCCTCTTACATATTTCCTCAAACTCTCTTGACCCAAAGTCTACTGAAATTCATCAAAAGCTGCCACTTGACTCTAACGGACTTGGAATGAGGCTATAAATTCTGGCTATTGCAAGTGCCTCAGGTATATTAAACAATGTACAACGTGGGCATTTACACCAGCTAAGTTAATTTAAACACAACTGTGAATATAAATCAGCTACTTTCATGTAGAATTTCTCAGTGCCATCAGGAGTGCTGTATTGAATTTAAAAAAAATCTGACTTGTTAATAGAAGCAAATAATGGCAAGCAGATCTTACTATTTTATTGGGCTAGAGTTAAATATTTGACCAATAATGAAAACCTATTTCTAACTGATTTCTCTCCTTCCTCCACATTTTGTTTCTTTAAAGGACATATGCACATGTGTTTTCAGTATTTGCTTTCGCTTAAGTTGTGCCTTTGGTTGGGTTTGTCAGTGGTTAGAACAGGGTGAGCTGATGAAGAATTATGTTTTTTTTATTTCCAGTAGTTACTGTCTCTGTAGAGAGTCGTCCTATGCTGGCAATTACTTATTCTTTGGTCTGTCATTGCTTTGGGCAGATGATCCTTGGGCTAAGATGTCTAGTGTTGTATGAAAATGGGAGAAAAAAAAAGCTGGAGCCTTCTTTTAAAGGGCTTGGTCCTCAGTTAGAGAAGGGCATTGCAGATGCTTCTTCATTTGCTGGTGGAAGAATCCAACAGTGCTATTGCTTAGGAGAAGAAAAGCAAAACGCAGGGACTCCAAATCTCTGCAGAGAGAGTATGGGATTTATGTAGGGCCAGGAACTACAGGCACAGGTGGAAACTCCTTATAAATAASAGGCTCCTTTGCTCTGCCCGAGGCGTCCATCGGTTGCAGTGGAGGAGCCACAGCAGCACAGCCTTGCAGAGAGCAATCTTGCACCAGTCCTGGTGAGGAAAAGAAACCAGAAGTGAGCAGGTCAGCTTGTAATTTATTCTGCTTTCCTGACCCCRATGCAAATTCTCCCCTGCTGCTAGTTCAGCACAGCCTCATTTCAAGACGCCTGGAGGAAAACACTCTCCCCTTTGCCTTAGAGCATATTTCTTTTACTTTCATTTACGTATAAAGACAGTAGCTGTAATGAATGTCCAGAAAGAAACTGCAGAATGTGACAATTACACTGACTTCATCAGCATGTTAGAAAGCCCAGGCGTTTATTAGTGGGTATTAGCAATATGGGTTATCCAGGACATCTGATATTCTGGTGAGTGCCTTGTTGTTAAAACCCTGCTCAAGTATCTGTCTTACACCTGCAAGATCAGCAATCGGTGGTGCTGAAGGCTCTGGTCACTCTGCCCAAGCYATTCTGGGTCTTTTTTCTAACTCTTGTACAAATATGAGACTTGCTGCATTCCAACTGCCATTGGGGGGAAAAAAAATGTTTGATGCAAAGAGATGGAATTAGAAAAGGGCCAGGGCCATGGGGCAAGTTCTATTTTTATTCATCAAAAAAACAGCTCTGCTTGATCTGTCATCACTAGAATAGCGAGAGGAAGGGAATTCCCAGCTAGTTTCCAAAAGAAGCTGTGTAATGGTGATGGAAATAGGCACAAAAGGCTCAAAACAGGTGCAAATATTTTTTTTCCCCTAAAAAGACATCTAGGGCTAGCTAGTCACTAGCAAGTCCTGAGCGTCATGCAGTTCCTCAGGCTTTAGGAAACTTGCAGCMTCATTCATTAGATAGAAGAAAATGATCCAAAAGCATTTAAAGGAAAGTTTTATCCCAGTTTAAGTGTCTCTTGTTCCTTACATAGACCTGTTCTGCTAGATGCTCATGGCAGGACAGCCCTAAATGAAGGAAAACACCACATACAGATCTGAGGCAGGACCTTATTCCCTGGCGAGTAGCAGTGCCATGACTGCAAACTGGCTGTGGCTTCTTCTAGGGACAATGTTCCGGAGAATAGCAATAAAGCTCCCAATAAAGAGATCTCTTCCTTTTCTGCCTTTTTTTTTTTCCCCCCCTATTTTCTCCATGTGCTGATGCTTCTGGTTTCACATTTGAACTTATCACTTCCTAGAAATAGAATGAGCAAGTGTCACCCAGAATCAGCTATCACTGGCAATCAAGCAGAGAAGTAGCAGGAAAGCAGCAGAGGTTTTGTGCAAAGCCTTGCTCCAAAGCTCCGGACAGCAGCACGGTCCTATCAGGGTTAGGCTTCCAGAGACATGGAGCACAGCAAAGAACAGAAAAACATGAGCACAGGTATTTGTGGGGGTAGGATTCAAAGGGAAAAGCCAAGACATGGGGCCTGGGACACTTGATGTCACACAGTTGCTCTGTGCATTCACTGAAGAAGTGGCATGGGATGGTCACAAGTTAAAGGACTTTCAAAATGAATTGCTTGCCAGTAGCACTCAGGATATGGAAATTTGGGCCAGAAACCTTATCAGCAGCAAGCCAGCTTGGGTGACTTTTGGTGGAAGCCTGAGTATTAGCTTCTTAATTTGTTTACCTGAAGATGAATGCTAAGGGATGCCACGGGAGCTGGGATGCTCATGAGYGCAAGGACAGCACTTGAGAACAAACTTCAGCAATGTCCTGCTGAACGACTGCTCCCCAGGGTACTCCTACAGAGATTCTGCATCTCACATAAGCTCAGCCGATAGGCAAGGGTCTTCCCTTCTGGTCTCCATGTATGAGCGCTCTTTGGGGTAAATGCAGCATCCTTTGATGTGGCTGGTTGTTAGTTATCAAACTCCAAATGATCCTTGGACTTCAAAAGCCCAAGGGATCGAGGAAAGGAGGACATGGCAACACAGGGAGCTGTGCCAAGAGGGGTCTTTTTAAAAGCATGGAGAAAATGAGAGGATCCCAGTGAACCAGGCAGCCTTAGGGGCTGACTAATCCCTCTGTGCAACTCGGAGCTGACACATGGAGCGGTGCCCTGGGAGATGCCTCCCTTCAGCCTAATTGTGTTGTTTATAGCAGGCCATTAAAAGCGTGAACCCATTTCTCAYGTGGCTGCTTCCTACAGCACTTGCATTTTTGCACATCTCATTACTGTTCRCTTTAATTCGGCTTTAGATACATCACATCTCTGAGATCCCAGCCCATGGGCAATACTCTTCCTCGTACCGCAGGAGATGGGCCATGGGAGATGACTGTGTGCGGAACAAGGAGCATGGTCATGTCCAGGTGCTTCTCAGGAGCATCTGCCTTATGAAAAAAAATTTCCATCTCTGAGGGTGGCCTCCTTAGCTAGTCCCAACTATTTCACCATGTGGAGGAGGCTGCTCTGGTATTAATTCACCTCAAAGAGCAGGTTGAAGTCATTAAAATGTTTTGCAGGTGGTTCTTGAATTCATGGTGCAGCTGGATCCAGCCTAAAGGGAGAGGAAAAACAAAAAAGAAAGGGAGAAGAGGCAAGTTCTGCTGAAACACAAATTAATATAACTCAGAGAGGGGAAAGAAATCTGGTTTCAATCTCTACAACAAAGACAAGCAACACATCAAGCTAGAAAGGAGAAATGTCAGCCAGCCAGGGCCTGGGATTTTATTGCTTTAGCACAGCAGCTTCTTCCCRGGTCCCGTGGGAGTCCCCAGGTGCTACCGCAGGCAGCCGGGAAGCCGGCACATGTGGGAAAAGCACATGGAGGGAGGCAAAGCCGGGGCCAGGGAGCTCAGCTGGTGGGCAATGGGGCTCCTTGTGCAGGAAGGTCTCACTAAGTCCTGCTCAAGAATCACCTCCACTCTCGATTTTGGCAACCCAGGATCCAAAARTATTTGCAACGAGGTCCTTGCTTGTGTGGGGGTCCAGGTGCTGCTTTGCTTCTGTGCTGCAGCACAAACTGCACTTGTTCAGATGTTGGTTTTGTCTCTCTTCCACGTGGGGGCACTGCAGGCACCAGATCATTTTTGTTCYTCAGGCATGCATCCTCTCATTTTCTTTTGGATGTGCTGACCAGGCCTGAGCAGGGCAGGGGTGGGACCTAATTCAGAGGGACATTGGCAAGGGAGACATCAGACCTGGCGCCTTTTCAGCTGGCAGTGGACACATCTCCCATGCCCTGAACTCAGCAGTGCTCCCAGATCTTAGGGAGTTCTGAAGACTTTGGTTCCTTTATGGGGAAAATGTGACATTTTAAGATAAACAYGTTCATACCAAGCAGCCTACCAGCATGACAGAATTTTCCAACCCCATCCATTCCAAAAAGAGAAAAAGAAAGAAAAATCAGGTGAAAGAGGGTAAAGTCTTATGCACAGGCTGACCACTGTCAGGGCGGCTGTATAGCTCCAACCATGGACATCTGCATGGACATCCAGAGAAGACTGTAAGGATGGTGGAGGCTGCTACCCTGGCTTTTCAGGCCAGTTTGTGTCCTTACCTTTTCTCTTTCCCACCTTTGGAAGGTCAGCATGGCTCTCTGAACTCTACCCATTTATCCCTAGGACATTTCCTGACCTTTGGGAATCCATTAAGTGGGTTGGCAGAAATCATCATGTTGTATAAACAAGGAGAAACACCTCTGAGCTAGGATGTCTTCTCATATGGGAAATGCCACCGTACATGGGTGCACTGCCCTGGGACTGCGACAAAGCCCTGACCAGGAGATGGCCGGGGCTGAAGAGCAAGAGCAGAAGCTCCTGGCGCTTGGGGACAGCCTCACCCATGAGGACTTCCTGCTTGTCTGGAAGGGTTGTGCCCATGGCAGCAGCCGACAAGCACCAGCTATGGATGTCCCATAGCATCCCTGCCAAGGCACCGTGTCCTGGGCTTGCCCGCTAACCTGCTGCATACCAGCTTAGAGATCTCAGCAGAGGGTTTTCAGGTCAAGCAGGAATAGTATCAAAGGGGAAAGTGCTTCCCAGCAGAGAGGGCTGCTGGAGGGGGCTGCTTGGTCTGACAGACGTGCCCGTCAATGCGCTGGAAACCGCCGCTCTATTAATAATCCCATCGTTTCAGCAAACCCTCCGCCCAAGGAGGCTGCACTGAATCAGCATTTTTTTTCTTTTCCCTTTCCTGATTTAGTAACCTCCGTTGCACAATCAGAGCCAATCTATTGCTGCCGGCAGTGACAGCACAGCAAGTAACWAAAGATCATGGAAAGAAGAGGGACGGCAGCCACCACGAGCGATCCCCAAGGCTCAGCAAGCGCATGGATACGTGATCCTGATGACCTTGGCATGACAGTGACCCCCTTGAGTCATGGGCACAGAAAAAAAAGGTTCTTTGTGAGAAATCTGCCATGTGTGTGTATGGGCCAACACCTAGATGGAAACAGGGCACAAAACTTAGAGGTGATCGCTCACCTGACCTATGTGACTTTGGCAACATGAGGAGTTGCCCTGATGTAAATAAGGTGCAAGGAGGAGGAGAATCAGCCTTGATGACCTGCGTAGGCAACCACATCTGTACAGGCAGGGCAAGCTGGAATTGTGCCTTTCCTACTGAGCTTTCCTAAAGAGAGAAATGAGGCATTGGGCTTGGAACCTTGGAGCACCACAGATCAGGATTGTCAATATAGAGCACCTAGAGCACTTTTACACACATGTCGCCAGGGCCATGAAGAGTCAAATGAAGAGGCCACAGCAAAGCAATGAGATAGGAAAAACCTACCCTTGAATATTTTTTTTTGAGGGAAGCAGGCACATAGATCTGTCTTAACCTATGCCTTTTGAAATGGCTTTTGGAAAACTACAGCTGCAAGGTACTTCTTTTTTAATATTTTCTGAAGGAACATGCATTAGTCCCACTGTGTTGTTAAAAGCCATTCTGCTGTAAATCAGCCCACTGCCTGCACACAGCTGAATCCCATCCCCTCGGCCTAGGCCACTCCAGAGYGGTTGTGTCCAACTAAACCCTTAGGCTATCAGCAGCAGGTGGCTTTAGGCTTGCACAGACCCAAGTGTTTAGTTCAACCACCAAAACCATCAGAAAGAGGCTGGATGTGAACACTTATCTGGTCATAACGAATATCACTYCCCTTAAAATTCAAAGAGTTTACTCAAGCAGAGTATCTCAAGTAGGGTGCATATCCTGGTAGTCACTGGGGAGCTTGGCTCATGGGTGCTAACATCTCCAGGCACCCTCACTGAGCAGGGCATCTCAGCCCTTTGCAATGAAGCAAATTATCCCAATTACTTTGCCAGGTGTAACAGAAAATTATATTAACAGAGGACCCCCATKCCTACCTTTTAGTGGCTAGTTGAGTTGTAGCTGTGCAGTTATGTTTGAAGGGAAAGTGTAGAGGAGGACTGCAAAATCTTCTTAGGCTTTAGAGATGAGGCTAGCTGCTGTCCGGTTGTGTTTTGGGATAGAACTCTCTGCCTGCAACTCTTGCATGTTGTTTGGGTCATGCACCTTGCCCAGCTAGATTCAAGAGGAATTAAAATGCTAAGGTAAGGACCATGCTTGTGAGCTTTAGGGGAAGTGACCAAAGAGGTGGTGAAATGGTGGAAGCTGTATCTGTAGAGAATAGATTGAGGAGGACACAGAAGGCTGGAGAGAATGTCTGCAAAGGGGATGGAGGCTTTTGTTTAGAGGCTCTTCTCACTCAGTTTCCAGACTCTTCAGACTTCTTCTTTCCTCGTACCCCCGTCTCTTGCTTTTCCTTCCAAATCCTGTGCATACTCTTCCTCCTTGTGCTTCAATCACGCACTATTACTGAACTYTCATGCTGGTACAACTTAATGAGTTTTTCTTACTACTGCTCACCATTTGGCCTCCTTTCCTAGGGAATGGGTCTCAAGGCCAATCTTTAACTGAACACCTTGGCTGTAGGAGGAGTCTGACTTGTGTTAGCATYGAGTCAAACAGCCACCATGTGTCTATGACCCACTAAGTGCCTTGTAGCAATGTTGAGGAGCTCAGTTGCATTTGTGCCTTGGGCAAGTACATGGGGRAAGCTGCATGTCCTGGCTGTGAGTTTTGAGGAACTGTTCAAATTACCACATCAGAGTCCTCACTATATAAAAACTGAGGCAATTGGCAAAGTGTATCAGAAAGCATATCAAGTCACCAAGCAGCTAGGAACCCCCTTCTTTGTCATCCATAATCTGGCAAGTTTTTAAGGTTAGCTGCAAGAAATTTGTCATGGAAATTAAAGATGGACACAAGGGAGAGGAAAATTCGAAGGATATGAACACTCTGACTCTTTCAGACAAGATTCGGTTTGCTTCACCTGCTGTAACAACGTTTCAGATAAGTGGTAAGGTTTTTTTATTTGTTTATTAAAGGGCTCGACATAACTTTATCTGGTCTATGAAGAAAACAGCACTTAAAATATATTTTAAAAATCTATTACATTTGAAATGTTTTTTAATAGTGACATTTGCTGCTATATTAACTGACCATGCAAAAAGAGAAGTCGGTGGAAGTATCTTTTCTATGCAGAAGCTGATGTTGAGCATCAGAAAATATTAGTTCTTTTCCCTGTTTTATTAAAAAGCCTAATTTCATTRAGTGAAATTTTCATGCCTAAATGCTGGAGATATCCAAATTGTCAGATCTCACAAAAAAATGTAAGTTTACGAATTTCAGTTGAATATAAATATAGTATTGCTGAGTAGGGCATTCTACTGTAAAACTAATTAAATCATTGTGCTCTCTTTAAAGCTAAGCCTTTAAACTCTTGATTATATTACTTTAGAAAAAAACTCAATTAAGGCTAACTTATTGCTTATTTGAAGTAGTTATTCATGCTTCTGAAACACTTCCCCCCCCCCCGCCCCCCTTCCCTAAAGGCCAAATTTCAAAGTAGTAGTTTTTCTTTTATGTTTGCTGGTGACAATTTGTTTTAAAAATTATGACTCGTTTTCATTTGTTCTGTCATTCAGGTCTTTTTTCATTTGTTTCAATTGATACATTTATCACTGTGTGTGTGTATCCAGCACTCTGGAAGATAGTGTGTGCTTTAATGGAACCKCTTTGAATGGCAGCCTGGGACAAATAAATGCAATGAAAGTAGGGAGTTAATTCATGCAGACAGGAAAATACTGCTGTAGTTGTGKTGTTAGAGGTTGGATTGGACCTTGATTGAAACAAGCTGGCTAAATCAGCTTAGGAAGAGCCTGCGCAGTGTGACTTGCAGTGCAAAGCACCTGCATGTCAAGGGAAAAGAGAAAGCAGGTACTGCTGTGGTGGGACCTGGTCTTCTCCAAGGGCTGGGGCTGCTCTCTTTCTCTGTAAAGTTTGCATTGAGAGGTGTGAGGAGAATGCCTACTGCACTACTGTTGGGTTTCAGAGCCTCGGAGCAAGCGAAAGCCTTCTGTGTGCTGTGCTCGGGCAGCCCTCACCATCTACCTGCTGCTCCTGACGGCTGGCCAAGCGCTTCTGGCGTACAAGGGTAACTCACCGGCCTCACTGCGGGCTCCACTGAAAAAGGCAGCATTTGCTGGGTGTCCTTTTGCACCTTTGCGTGGTGCCTGGAGAGTGTGGCTCTGCTACCAGGCACCCCAGCGACCTGCCGYGTCCTCCAGCATCTCCCTCTTGGGCGCTTTCTGATTCCTTCGCGCTCTCCTTTCTTTTACAGACCTGTCTTCCCCTACCCTCTATTGCACAGGAGCCCCAGGTCCTGCTTCTCTGCACCCCTCTTCCTTGCAGCATAATACCTCCAGCCCCTCACGCTCAGAGCACATATCCCTTTGCGATGTCCTTTCCGTCCTGCCCTCCTAGCACTGCTCTTGGATGGGCAGGTGGGACACTGGGCAGTGGGGAGCGCCTGCAGGGAGGTGATGGCAAAGACTAACACACTAAAAACACCCTCCTGGGTCAGCTGAGAGCATTTAGCTCTGTCCTGTGGAAACACARCCACCTTTCCCACAGGCACTGGGGAACAATCTTGCAGGAGAGACGTTGCCCAGCCCACCCCAGACAGGCATGGCTTATTGCATGGCCCTTCTGTTTCCTCAGTGTTTAAGATACAGAGAGAGATGTCAGAAATTCAAGGAAGAAATACCTCCCACTCAGAAGAGATGCTGGAAAGCTCCTTTGCAGAAAAACTTCTCTTGGAGAAGAACTACATAGAGGGGGACATGAGATCTGGAGAAAATTGGATGAGAAACTTGGAAGAGGAAATCAACATAATTAAAAGCAGCAATGAAAACTTGATCATGATGATGAACAACATCAGCTTGACTGCAGGTATGGTTCCTTTTTCCGTGGCCTTCTGCCTTGCCAGTTTTACGGTGAGAGAAGCAAATACATCAGTAAAACAAGCAAAGCCTGAAGCCCTTGTGATGCCTGAGAGCTACAGTCATTCTGTGTGAGACAGCAGAGGGCAGGTYCCTCAGATGAGCCAAAACTGGGTAAGCTTTAACCCCATCAAGTCTTGTGACACTTGTCCCAAGAGCCATGCAAGTACCACAGARTGAGCAAGCTATTTCAGACAGACAGATAACTAGGACAAGATTTGGGCACTATTGCATTGCTCTTCATGTCTTCTAATTAGTAATACTTAAACACCTGGGGTTAGACATTGGTTCCTGACACCTTGGCTGGAAATACCTCTCTGGCTACCTGCACGTGCCCCTCTGTGCATGTGTCTCCATGTGTGCACGGCCCTGGACAGCTCGCTCTCTGCATATCCACTGCCTGGCAGCTCCTGGAGCATGTACAGCTCCATGCTGCTCTCCACTGCTGTAGGTCCTGGCTCTGACTGGGGGGTGATGGGCTCAAATGAGCCCTAAAACATATTACCCTCCTTCTGGTACATTAGTTGCTGAATGTTAATTACTGAGAAATATCCATTAAATGTCATTTCAGGGCAACCTGGAAGGAAAGGAGATCCGGGTCCACCAGGTATGTAGGAATATAAGTAATTTRTTCCTTTTATTTTTAAAAATCTCCTCTTTTTTTCCATAAGGAAACTGAAGTGAGGATTTGAGAATTCAGTCTGTAGCCTCATATCACACAAAGTGTGCAGAAAGCCATTTCTCTGGAAATGGAAAGACTTGCTTCACCTTTTGTCTCATGTACTGGAAGCCAAGGCCTGGCTGCATGCTTGAAGGGGTGGTAGAGTGACCAATGTTTTGAAATTGCCCCCTCACTGCTACWTGGCCAGAAAAGCTCAGATGATATGGGGGGAAGTGAATTGGAACTGATCATTGCATACAATAACCTGTACAAATTCCTGTGAGCAGCATAGGTGTTCAGGGTTGGGAGTGTTCATGGAGAGCAGTTTCAGATACCTTTCTAAGTGAAAAAGTCTCTGAAAGAGACTTCCAGATTCTGATGAGCTTTAGACATGGTGACTAGAGCTGAGATTCAGACCTCCCTTGAGTAGTGATTGTCTCCTGCTCAGTTCAAACTTAGAAGGAATACCACTGCTTTTAATGTTGCATTTAAAGTCAGATTTGCTGAAGCAGAATTGTCCTGGGCTTCTGGGAAATGACGGCTGTCGTTGTGTTTGACTTAGGTGCTAAAGGAGAGAAAGGAAGCCAAGGTGAAAAAGGATCCCCAGGTGAGTTGTGAAGTTCTTGCTCTCATCCTTCGTTAGCCATGAAGGAATGGGGAGCTGGTGGAGCTGGTTCTTGGGAACTGGCTGATTTACCAAGAGCTCTCCAGAGCTTTCTGAAGTATCCTGCAGCATCCTGAAATAGACATTTAGCCAGCCCGAACAGGTGGTGGAAGGGAGATGAAAACACAGAAATATGCTGGAGTAGGATCGTGACCTTGGCCATTCAAACCAATAGGGTTTTCACCTTGACTTCAGTGAATCTGGCATTTGACCTGCAGCCTTTTGCTTATGTTTGTTGTATTGTGAAATTTATCTTTAAGGAGTAGCAGGCAAGAAGGGAGACCTGGGTCCAAAAGGAGATCCTGGAAGAAAAGGAGAGCCTGGGTCACAGGGTAAGCAGTAACACACACAAAACAAAGGATAGGAAAGATGTAGTGAATACTGAAAGTTATCTGAGCAATACATGAAGGGTTATTTTTCTGTTTTAGGAATAGGGATCCCAGGAGACAAAGGTGAAAAAGGTAAGTCATGGAAACAACCCCCTGGGACTTATTTCCTCCCACTCACCTCTCTCTTCTCTCTCTCTCTCTGTGCAGTACCATGGCTCAGAGGGAATAAGAAAAACTAAATTGTCCCCTTAATTCCATTTCCAGGTGATCCAGGCGAAAAGGGTTCCCAAGGTCCTCCTGGTGCAGTTGGTGCCTTGAAAGGAGAGAAAGGTTCAGCTGGAAGAGATGGACCTCCAGGTGAGGAGTTATTTGCACCTGTAGGATTTGTACCAACASCAGTTTGTGGAGTTGCCATGGGATGAGCCCCTCCGCAGAGCCAGATGGAGATGTGTTGTCATGATGGGACAATCTGAGCATGCAGTAAGCATCTCAATTAATCAGTACCTGTGGCTTCTCATGCAACAGCTGTGCTCTTTTCCTGCCCTAGAACATACTGCAGACATCTGCAGAAGCTTGTTCCATGGTACATCCTTCTCAGTCTGCTTATCTCCCCACAGGAGCACCAGGAGCACCTGGCCTTCCAGGAGAGAAAGGAGATAAGGGAGATGCAGGTAAGAAAGGAGCCAGTTGCTTTCTTATTTCACTTTTCCTACCTGCTGTCAATGATAGTGATGTTTTACTGATGATCAAGTGACGCAGGCAAGATGAGTTCACCAACTAATATCTTTAAGCATTTTACATCTGTACAAGACCTTGTCAGTCAATACAACCAGAACAGGAAAGGAGAAGAAAGCTATTTACACAGGGCTTATATTTTGCCYATGACTTAAGTGTAACTGGGCTTTGTCTCACACAGCACATTTCAAGGAGACTTTATCAGCCTCTGCTCTATAGGGATCCCACTGAACAGTGCATGTAACAAATAGCAGAAAARTGGGGATCTTCTGTTCTGTCCCTAGGGAACTGCCTGCTGGCCTGTGCAGCCCTGTCAAAGCTGCTACCACTGCTTGGGGGCCCTGGATCTCCTGGGTTRGGATTACACCCACTCTGGGAGATAAATGTCTCCAGTGAGAGKGTAGCAAGTACAGATCTAATGTTGGCAACCATCCTGTTTTGAGCAGAGGTTGGACCAGGCAATTCCCAGAAAAACCAATATTTCTGTGATGATAATCTGAGATGCAATCCTCGTTGAGTCATATCTGTATCTTATCCATCCCTAGTTCTTGGCCGTGCTGAACTTTTCTGAAGGGAAAAGAAAATTATTAATTTCTTTTTAGAAATCGGGTTTTCTCATCTCCCTGGCTACACTTTGAACACTGGAAAACACCACCTCTGGCTAAACACTGTTTGGTGCCTGCCATGTTATGTATCAYAGCCCAGTAGCTCAATGTCTTCTCAGGAGAGTTTCCCCAAAGGCCCCTGTCAGGCTGTGGTCAGTGAGGCTTGGCCCCTGGTCAAGTGGCCTGTCCCCAGCCGTGTGGTCAGCCTGGACATCAGCAGTGCAGTGATGCTGCCGGGTGCCAGCTGAAAAATGGGCTCAGTGGTGACAGAACAACACAAAAAAAATTACTAGAAATAAGTTTTCTAATCATTACCGGGAATAGATGATGAGTTGTATCAGCTGATGTAAGAATTTTATGTTTCAGGGCCACAAGGGCCACCAGGGATCAAGGGAGACAAAGGAATTGCAGGTAAAGCATTTCTGACCCCTAAATTGTTTCTGTGGATGGCTGTAACATGACTTTCTGGACAATCTTGTCCTCAGTCACAGAGGTAAGTTGGTAGCAATGCTGTTGGAGCAGAATGGTACGATCCTATGTGTGTTCAATGTGAACAAGATTAACTCTTGTTCAGAGAAGAAATCTTATTTTATTGATAAATGCTTAGGGCCAGCATACTGGCCACAGTCACCTGATTCCCTGTGATTCCTAGCACTACTTTCAAGTGTACCAAGAGCAGAGGTTGGCTCATGTCCCCAGCTGAGCTGCATAGGCTGATACTACCAGTCACTGAATATTGTGCCCTAAAAAGCATGAAAATGTGGTATTTCCCWTGCAGGATCACAAGGACTTGAGGGTGTCAAGGGAAGTAAAGGAGATCCTGGCCCTGCTGGCCCAAGCGGTAAGCCAGGAATACAAGGCCAAAAGGGACAGATGGGTCTTCCAGGTAAGACTGCTTGACTCAACACTTTGAAGTTTGTGGTTTTTTGTTTGTTTTGTTTTTGTTTGTTTGTTTTCTCCCCTATGTACTTCTGCTTAAATTAATTCCAACTAAAACATCTTGTGAAATCTTCAGAGTCTGGTTATTTTCATAAAAGCCCAGGTAAGCTTGCCAACCCTTCATGGAGATGCATGAATAGAGTAATTTACCTGATTCAGAGGGTTTTCACTTGTGTCACTTTCCAGCAAAGCTCCCAGAGGAGGGCTAGGGGAAGAGGACTCAGGGTTGACCCTGAAGCATGGAAGTCTCTACAGAGCTGTCCTGCCTATTAAAAGCCACAAGTATTCGACTATTAGCCTGTTTCAGATTAAGGCAGTGATGTTTGCAATAGGCTTTTCGTGGTATAAACTAATACAGGCAAAACTATATGCACAAGCATATGCTCACTGTAGTAATACCTATTTCTAGAGGCTTTATCTTATACAATCCTCATTTTTATAGCACTTAATGCATTGCATAATTCCTCTATTTCTATGTAACATCCATTAGTGGACATCTCTTGGATGACTGCAGCTCAGTAGGTTTGTGAGCTGCGCTCAGAGAGGAAAGGCTGAAAGCAGGATGGCTGAAGAAATCAATAGTTGACCTATTCATCAATTTCATGAATAGTTGATAGTAGAGCTGAGGATGGATGTTTCGGATCAGTAGTTTAAAGCCTCCTCAGAAGTAAGTCACCAGATCCTGCAGGCTCGAGTGGAGCTGTGTTTGCTTATAAGAGCTGTGGAAAGGGAGCAGAAGGAATAACTGAGCCAAGGACTCTGGGATAATTCTGGAGCAAAAGGRAGAGGTTGCTCTTAAAAGATACACTTTTGGGCGCTTCAGCCCTGTCAGACCACACTTAACTCTGCTGAGAGAAGAGAAGGGTAAAGAGATCCATAGCAATAACCTCAAAGCACAGGAACTGAATAAAGTGGGTAGGAGAAGGAATAGACCTTTAGTAGTGGAAACTTGGAGAAGAAAACCCTCTAGTGATAGGGATAGTTTGGGAAGTAAAGGCGAGGGAGCTGCAGTTTCCATCCTTGCAGGTCTTTAAGACCAGATCTGACAAACATATGTCAGGGCAGTTGGCCATTGCTGGTGGTTGGTTCAGACAGATTCCTGACGTCCTGTCCAGCCCAATCATTCTACAGTTTCACACAGATGCCACTGGTTGATAAATGCAAGTGTGAGGCCAAACTCACACTTCATGAAGCTTGATGAAGATGGCCTACTGGCTTCAGAAATGGCARATGTTGTATGATTTTTACATATGCGCTCTGCTCTTTGGTAGGCTTCCAAGGACAGAAAGGAGAAATGGGTGAGAAGGGAGATCCTGGGCCCGCTGGACCTAAGGGTCCCGAAGGAGAGCGGGGAGACACAGGACTGCCAGGTTTCAAYGGTAAGGGAAGAGTGTAGAACACAGCCTCCCTGTTAGCACATATGTTTGGTGCTGGATGGCTGGGACTAGCTGAGCACTTGGTTAAGCCTTGCTTGGACTGACATCAGCATTTTCTTGCAGGTGGCATGGGAGAGCCTGGGCCTCCTGGGCAGAAAGGAGAGGCAGGTAAGCCATGCAAAAGTTGCACAAAAGGTGGTATTCATCATGATATTTTTCATGACGTGGAAAACCATATCTGAAGTAGTTCCCAACATGAATAACAGATAACGAGGAGATGAAGAAAACATGCTGGAGTTCTGCAAACCCATTCTGAAGCTGAAGTTGCCTAAACTATATGCCATGCCCATAGCGTACATAAGAATGAGGGAGAAAGGGGATCCTGTAATGAAGAATATATCTTCCTCCCTGTGGTGTGTAGACAAATGGAAGGAACAAAAATTGGCTGYTCTTAGGAAGGCACTTGTGCTGTTCATAATTGGCAGTCTGCAAGGACCCAATTCTCCACAGCCTGTTGCTGGGGGTTCTTGCTCACTGTSCTGTTAAGACTGGCTCTGTGAGAATGGATTTCACTTTGGAAGGAACCACGGTTTGCTTCATCTTCATGGGAATAATTCGTTCCACAAAGCCCAGGGCCTGGTGATTTGTCTGTCTTGCAGTGGCTCTTCTTGCTCCCTCATGGCTTGCTTGCATTTCACATGTATGACTTGTGTTCAATGTCAAGGTTCACCTGGAGAACATGGTCCCCCAGGAGTTCCTGGCTCTGATGGCACACCTGGTCAGAAAGGGGAGAAGGGGGAGCAAGGACCYAGCGGTAGTCCAGGTACAAAGTTACTGAATTTGTAACTGGCTGTTCTCCTAAACTGACCTTGCTRTGTGTGATGTCTGTTCCTTTATTTTGTTTTTAACCTTAGGAACTGCAGGAGAGAAGGGGCTGAAAGGTGATAAGGGAAGCATTGGTCTGACAGGTAAAGGAGAACAAAACAGRTTTGGTCAACCTTTTAATCAACTCATTTGTATAGTGCACATAACCTGCATAGCTCCTCCTTTAGGAAATGAGGAAGATCACAGGATTGCACCCTTTTGCTTTCATCCTATATCTAGATAAGAAAGATGAGAGCTTCTTGGCCAAACCTTGTGCTTACAGGTATCAGATAAGCCAGACTTCATGTGTATAGACTCTCTCTACACTCRCTGAAGGTGCTCTATCCAGTCAGTAGAGCCTGAGAGGTGATACAAATGACCACAAGCAGGTGAACCTTGGAAGATCAAGATGACTCTCTGCTSTCTGTATTTTGGATACTTCTTCATTGAATATATGGAGAAGAGAATGGGAAGGAGAAGGGAGTCTCCTGGGAAAGGAGATGCCTGCTTCAGAAACAGACCTCTATAGTTCTGATAGCTAAACTGGGCTGGATGAAACCCACACTAAGTATTGGTTTGTATAAACCTATATTGAATAAATACTTGTCTTATTTATTTTGGCTTTGATTATCTTAGGTCCTTCAGGTCCAAAAGGAACAAAGGGAGACTGGGGGCCACGAGGTAAGAATTTGTTCTATAGCGTTATTTATTCTGGTACTTTTTCAGCAGAGTACTCTAAATGCAGTGCTTCATTCCTGGTGGCAATGTGAAATGCTCCCCCGCTTTCCCTTGAAAACTGACATAGGTATCGWCTTTCTAATTTTCCCCTAGGTAGTCCAGGCCCGACTGGTGAAAAAGGAAGAAAGGGGGAGTATGGCAGGCCGGGCCCAAAAGGGGAACCTGGGGCCAAGGGAGCAAGAGGAGATACTGGACCTATTGGTAAGGCTGTTTGTGGCACTCTGGTGTGTTTGGGATCTTACACTGTGCCATAGCATGCACAGCAGCACGCACAGCACRCAAGGGCTGCTCTGGGCCCTTCAGAAAGGACAACAGTAGAGCTATACTGTGTGTCTTTCTCCTTCCCTCTCCATCACAGATTGTTTCCAAAAATCCAATTACCCATGTGTGTGTCTTTATTTTTATTTTTTCAAATGACTGGAAGAGGAAAAGGTAGAAAAACTTCTGAAACTTAGGGCTCAGTGGAATACACAGGTATAATGAGGGGATCCAGCAAGGCATGGCAGTTCTGCAGAAGTTGTAATTTGGTGACATTGTCAGTTTGCCATGTTTCCCACTAGATGTGCAGTGTTTGGTAACAGCACCTCACCTTGGACAGTGAGAACACTTCAGTGCAATCTTGAGAGAGCAAACTTTGCTGATGGAGCGTCTCTGAGCTCATGAGCTTTTTCTTGACTGTGGTGCCAACCTGCTCCAACGGCCACCTTTTTGTTGCATGGACTGTCAATACATGGGTGCTTGCAAACAAAATAAAAGTGGGAGGACAATGAGATATGTTTTGTAGAGGTAGCATCTGCAGATCTGAAGATTGCATACTGTGTTTTTGTTTTTCCCCAAAAATTTTTTTCTTTGTACAGGGGAGGAAGTTGTACAGAAGTGTAAGTGATTTCTGCTCTGCCAAAATCTATGATGTAGGTCATCTTACAAATATTCTGAGAGATACTATACCTCCTTCTGGAGATCCTGAAAGCCGTCAGGAATGTCATCTTAAAGACGGTAGTGGCAATGAGATCCATTTCTCTTGAGTGGATGAGATTTTTTGCAAACTGCCCTTTTCACTCTAGTCACATAGGGAAAACTGCCATATGATACCCTGCTTTCTTTGCCCCTCTGCTATCATGTAATATTTTTTCATCTCTTAATCACTTCCAACAGCCCATTTCTCAAGGGAATGGAGCCCTTTTATCTCTGACCCATACAATTATTCAGGAAAAAAGGTGGTGGCCATACTTTTTTTTTTTTTCCCATTTTCTCTAAACAGCTGTCGTTTGTTTGTTTGAAACAGGTCCTCCGGGAGCGCCTGGGAGTAAAGGAGAAAGAGGAGAAGGTACTGCACTTAGTTGTTCTTCTAYCCCTACATTTCCTGCATGGAAACCATAGTCATAGGACATGAGGCCCAGTCTGTCTCCCAGCACACCTGGCTGGCTGGAGCCTGTMTGGAGCAGGGCGAGCAGATCAATGTGGTTACGCACCGTGCCGTTGTGTGGCTGGGCTCTGTCCGCCACCAAGGCTGGGTTGTGCATTGCTTTTACAAGGACTCTGGTCCCTCCCAGACCACAGTCTCTAGGATGGGAACGTTCATCCAAATTATGAGCAATTGCTGTTTCATCTGCCCCAATGGTGTTTGTTTTCTTGTGGTGGTGGTGGTGTTCTCCTCTCTTCCCTCCTCATTTCTGCGTGGTTGGTTAGAGCTCTCTTCTGCTTTGACTTTTCAGACAACTCTGGCTTGTTTATTCGAATTGCTGGAGGGGGCAGGAGGGGTCGTGTGGAAGTCTTTTACAAGGGCCGCTGGGGGACGATCTGTGACGATGGCTGGGACGTCAAGGACGGCGCTGTCGTGTGCCGCATGCTGGCCTACAGCCGCGTCGTCAGGACCTTCACAGCCAGCGCCGGTGAGTCCCTAGCAGCTCCCTGCGCAGGAAGGGAAGCAGCACAACAAGGTCCTTCGTGCAAGAAACAGCTAAGCAAAGACACCAGTCTCCAAGGGACAAAGTCCTCTTGGGATGATGCAGCTGCCCCTTGAGAGCTGCTCAAGCTAGGCTAAAAAGCTTCATCTTCCSCATAAGCAAACCATGAAACCCAACATATGCTTGCAATCAGCAAGGATGTTGTTAGAAAAATGTGTATTCTTGTTGTTCCTGTTTCCCTTGTCCAACAGTGACTTTTTTGTCCTTTAAAGGCTCTGGGGAAATTTGGCTTGATAACGTGAACTGCCAAGGAACTGAACGTTCACTTCTTGAATGTTCAGCGTCACCCTGGGGCGTGCACAACTGCTTGCACAACGAGGACGCCGGTGTGGAGTGTGCTTGATGGACTCAACTGCACTTGACCCACTACCCAGCCTGTGCTGTACAGGCTGCTGCTGCCTGTCTCTGCTTATGGCGTTGCTATTTTTTACCTATTCATTAAATTTTCCACAAATGTGTGATAGTTGCTAGATCTGCAGGTCATCCAAAACACTCCCAGCTGCCATACCAGGACGTGAGTTCTACTGTGCTAGGCCTTAGCTGTCCTGCTGTCTGCATCCCACTATCCTGGTCATGAAGTTGAACCTAAAACTTCCTGTGAAGTGAATATATATACTGCAAACAGCAGATGCTCAATCAGCATGCAAATATTACTGTGCTCTGGAAGAGAAGGATGGTCACAAGCTGAAGTAGAAAAGTAAGTGCCTATGGGCCTGGTGCCACCTGCCTTCCATTAACACTGATCATGTTTCCTTGGCCTGGAGCAAGACTGCTTTGAACTAATAAGATGGTCTAGGGAACTAAATGCTTTCAAGTCTTTAGAGAAGAGATGCTTCAGTAAAACAAAAGGACGATGAACAAAAGCAGTAAGGCAGTAAGGGGAAAGTATCTGCTTAATTAAAATTTCAGAGTGAAATTATGGATCCAAAAACCAATGGCTCTTGCCTTAATTGAAGATGTCATACAGACCAGTGCTGGAGACCATAATTGTAAGGCTTTTTTGTATTAACTCTTCCCCTTTCCCATTGTCACAGCGTTTGACACTTGGCAGATGACCAGAAGCCTCTCTATAGCTATGCACAGTACAATGTGCATGTCTGCTTTAATATTGGTCATAATCATGTTTGCCTRAATACTGCTGGAACATTTTACTGATTTACAATTCAGACATAAGTGGGAAAACTTCTGCATGGTGCTATTAGGAGTAGGTGGCAGAGCTGCCACGGTCCATGTTACTGTCATGTCCATGTCAGGAGGGTCACTTTGGGTAACACTGCAGAAAACTTATCAAAAACAAACAAACAAAAAAGTAATGTTAAATTAGAGTAAATGCTGATTTTGCAGCATCTTGGGCTTTAGGAAAGAGATCTAGAAACTTTGTTTTTTCTTTCCCCACTGTCCCTGTGCTAGAGAATGATAGGGGAAGCCTGATGAATGACAAATATTTTAAAGCTGCTGGAGTTGGACAGTTGCTCACCCAAATGAGAAGAAATGTTGCTTGTCTRTGATTAAATAGCAGCTCCAGTTTGAAGAACAGGTGGCCAGAACCAAGCAGTGGTACCAGATTTACTGGTACCAGATTTAATAGCTTGATGCCAGGGGTTAGATTAGATTTAATTCTGAACTTTTGTCTTATTTAAATGCAATTATCATTGCTAAAGCAGGAAGAAATTCTTTATGGGTCTCCCAGCTTTTCTATGAGCTGGATGAGCTTAATAAGGCACATCTTTCCTTGGTGGAGAACTGGTTGTGCTGGCTTAACTTCTCTATCACTTATACTCTATTGCCACAACCCTATAGCATCTCTTGGGCACTATGTACACTGATGCGAGCTGCCATCCCTGTGGCCTTGCAAAGAGCCGGGTCACAGAACTGCTCCTTGTGATACTACCCTGTCTTCTATTTCTTCTTCTTCTTTTTTTTTTTTTTTTTAATAAAAATCTCTGAATTTTAGATGGTTGCTGGTTTTGTTTCCTGTGGCAGCTGGCTGTCTCAACTTAAGAGATGTCAGGACAATTCTAAAATCCAGGAAAAAAGAAAGCAAAAGCTACGTGAGGGTATTTCCAAGAAAGGATGGATGGACACACATACACACRTGCAAGGACAGGGAAGTGGATTGTTTGTCACTGTTGCAGCATCCCCCTGTATTCTGGGCTTTCCTAGCCCAGCTCATGGCCTAGCCTGGTAGCTGTAGCTGCTCAGTGATTTTGTGTCTGCAGAGGGGAAATCTGTCTTTAAATAATTTTAAACCTTCCAAGCAGCCGTGCACCTGCCTTTCCAAGGCTGTTTTGGATACTCGGATTATTTCCCGACTTGTTGAGCCAGGGGCGCCTCGCTCGCCGTGCCCTGGGGCGAGGGGTTGTGTTCGCCCAGCAGCCGCCAAGGGGAGCTCCAGCTCCAGCCCGTGAGCTGCTCCTGGATGTTCTTTTATTATTATTATTCTCTTCCCTTTTATTCTACTTTAAGGTAAAATCCAAGAATTCCCCTCAAGTCACTTAATCCCAGGCCCTTGGAGAGTTTTCCTGCAAGAGAGGCCCTGGAGAATGTGCCCCGAGTTCCCGATCAGCATCGCATCTGCACAATTCCAGCTGCTGATCCCACTAGCTGCATATGGAGACCCCAAACCAGTGCCTGGGGGGRCAGTGGTGCCTGGTCCAGCCCTGCCCTCCCCAGCCCGACCCAGCGCACGGACAGGCTGTGGTCGCTAGTAAGGAATCATGTAGCTTTGCTTATCATTCCCTCCCAGCACCAATTAAAAAGATTTAGTTAAGCAGAATGCAATTGCACTGTCATGGATAAAAGGGATACAATTAATTAAAAAGGAGTGCTTACCCCGAGGAACGCTGGTGCTTGCAGATGCTCCCACCCCTGTCCCTGATCTCTTGGCATAAGCGGAGGACGGAGCAGGCAGGTGCCCAGGGCTGTCCCGAGCGCATCTCAGCTCCTGGGACTCATAGGGACAAGTAAGTCCACTCTTAGGGCTCTTCTGCAGCCCTACAATGTCATTTGCAGCATTTCCCTTGCTATTCTCCCTGCTTTTCCAAGGAGCTGAATGTTTGACAGATATTGTCAGGCACTGTGCTGGGACCTGGGTTGCATGGAGTGCAATCCATGGGGTGTAGTGAGAAACCCAACAGAAGTCGYTTGCAATTCAAAATACCAGCCAGGCACCCAGAGATTATCAAAAGTGAAATCTTTGCTAACTAAAATCCAATCCTTTAGGTTTCTGAAGCTTCAAGTTTATGCTGAACACATCCCTAACACATCTTGCCCTAGCAAAATTATTGATGATTCCAGCTGAAACTGTAGAAAAGGCAATTTTGTTTAGCTCATACCTAAAAAGTTGTTCCCTCTGAGCATTGTTGTTCCTTTTTTTAAAAAAAAAAAAAGAAAAAGTGCATTAAAGCCTTTGTATAAGATATCAAGTGTAATGAAGGAAAGACATCTTCCTTGTTCATATAAGAGACAGTCAGAGATGTAAAAATTTTAATGGGTGTATCTAAGGTTGAACTCATCTTGTAATATGTGGCGTTCTAATTTTGTTTTCTTCTGTCTCTTCTAAAGTCTCCTGTTGCTCATGAACTAGAGTATAACCACAGCAGCACCAATCTGCAGGCACATTTCTTACCCTTTTTTTTTTTTCTGATGAATGTAACAGTGGAAGGCAGCATAGGACCATGAAACAYGGGATTTTCTTCTGTCTCGCTTGCCGTTGGTACAGGTTACAGGTCTGCAGGCTATGCCTGGTTAACTCACTTCCCAAGGGCATGGTCCAGCACAGGTCCAACCAGCCATTCAGCTCAGCTCGCAGCCCCTGTTTTAAACAGGTGTTTCTGATCTGAGCAAAAAGACCAATTCTGCTTTAACTTGCACTCAGGAACAAACATCAGAGCAGGCAGTTGGCCTCCTGTGACACCGAGCTAAATTTAACCCAAAGTATTTAAACAAAATGTTAGCAGTAGAGCCGAATGATTATCTATTTATTTCAGTATTTGTCTTTTTCAAGGGTGACCTAAAATCTATAAGTAATTAGTTATTGTGTTGGCTACAGTACTGCAAAATGCTTCCCATCATTTTTTATTCAGACTCCGAGCTGTGACTCCCAAATCATTCTAGTCACAGCTGTCTTCAAAGGTCCGAAGAGGGAGGGCTAAYGCCTTAATATCTTTGAGATTTGCAAGAATATTTGTGGATTTGCTGGGGATTCAGTGCAAGATGGAAAAAAAAAAGAGTTAGATGGAAAAAAAAAAAGAGAGTTTTGCAGGCGAACAGGAACTTGTGCCAGCAGTTCAAAAGGAAAGACACCTCCAAATGTGGAAAGATTTGAACGTTAAAGTGCAAAATAAACATTGCTATTCAGCAGCAGGCTTTGTCTTTTGAGTCCTGGGTTAAGACTACTTCACAGGGMCTATAAAAGCTCCTTGCTCTCCTTTGTTGATGCTAAATGAATTTTAAGCGTGCCAGCTTGAAGTGTGTATTGGATTTGCCATCTCCAGCTCCTCCCAATCATCTACATACCACCCAGGGAGAGGGAAGGAGGTGACTTTCAGAGTTGTTGAATAGATGCATGATGTAAATGGTAAAGTCTTTAGCATGTAAACCACCTTTATTCTGAGGACACTTGGTGATATTTTGTGTAAATGCTAACAATCTAGAAGCAAGGAGAACGTACTTGTTAGGCACCATCCCATCGAGGAGACGATGTCTCGCTTCCTTAGGAAATCCTAACAGAGTCAATGGGTTCAGAGGGCTTGTAGACTCGGGCTGTAAATCATTCCAGATATGAATTACTGCCTTATTAGAACAGCTTTATAACTGTAATTCCAGATAAGTGCACAATTAGCCTGATACCTTCTGATAACATGCCAACAGGAAAGAAAAAAGAAGTGTTATCTCCTTCTAGGCTACTTGGCTATTCAAAGAAACTGCAGCAAACTTTTGCAGATGTTATGACCAGACTATTATCACACCCATCTTGCGCGACCTCCTGCACGAGGCAGCACAGAACCAAGCACCTGAAAATTCCCGCATCGATCCGGCACTGCGGCATCTTTTCTAGGAGAGCACTGGGTCCCAGTTTAAAGTTTGCCAAATGTCGTGACCAAACCACACACGGTTTCCATGAGCCTGTTCCCATTACCCGGAGCTGCAAGACCAGGAGCCACAGGCTGTAAGAGCATGGGCATTTTTCCTGACATGGGTAAGGATGGTTGACTCCTCTTGCGAGGCTATGAAATTTCTCCAATAATAAGCAGGGACAGACTCCTGCAGCAACGCTGGAGGGAGGGGAAATACCCTGTCTCTAGGAATCTAGTTATTTCCATCAGCCTCTGAGAGCTGCTCAGCACTGTGCATGGGCTGGCTGCAGTTGGCAGATGGAGGGGAGGAGGCAAAGTGCCCTCTGGTTTCTTTCGAGGAGGCTCCACGAGTGCAAGAYGAGAGCAGGTTACCTGCTGTCATGGCCCAGCTAGATTACTCGCTTTGGAGGCCTTCTGTGCAAGCCAACATGGTGAGGAGAAGAAATGTCTCTCCCTCCCGGCGACTGCAGTGAGTGCAGTGCTCTGGGGAACCACTCTGGTTTCCACTGCTGGGATTAGAAAATGACAAAAAAAAACCCAAATTTTTTCGATGTTTTTGTGTTGCTGCTCCCAGATGCACAGTGCCACTCTGGATTAGCAGCCGGCGCGTCCATTGTGACCCGCTGCCGTGTGACACGCTGTGACCCTGCGGGAGCACATGCGGTGCAAGAATAAAACGTATGGTCTTGGGCAGATACATGGGGCAGCTCAGCCCGTGACGTGACCTCAGTAGGCGCCTCCGAGCATCACCCGACGTGGGTGATGAAGCAGCGAGCTGCGACCAGGGTCACGTCTGCAGCTGGCACACGTCAGCATTGCGCTGCTGGCATGGGGAACAGTCCRTGCTTCTCCGGTACAACACACAAAAACTGTTCCTTTTGAGTGGAATGTTTCTCTGGTGGATGCCTTTGTGTAGCTGTCGGTGAGAGATTACACTAGCAAGGGCCATTGCACAGTTACAGTGACCAAAGGGTTGAGCTGGGTCATGAAAAAGCCCATCTAGCAGTCCCATTTCCCCACAGTCTTCTCCAGCAGTCCCATCTGAGAGAAAGATGAATTCCCCTAACAAACTGTGCCTTAAATCCCAAGGGGAAAAAAAAAAAAGAAGCAGAGTGAGACAAGAGTGATTAAAAGAGACAAAAAAAGAAAGAGTGCCGTCACCTGGTGGCACCTTGATGTGGTCCTTCTGAGAGCAGAGTACAACAATCTTCACCCTCATGGTGCAAAGGCTTTATCAATGTCCCTAAACTCCAGAGTTCTCCCACCTTGATATTTCTGCAGGTCAACCCTGACTGTTGCCACTTACCTGTTCCCACCGCCAAAGTGACAGAGTCTTGTCCCAGGCCTTCCTTTGACTTCATGGAGTGTGACAGGATCTGGTTCCTTCACACCCTATTGGCTCTTAATTAGGAAACAGATTCTGCCACAGGGAACCAAAGAAAGAAAAATGCCTAAAAAATGTCAAAGTATAAGCATAAAGAGGGCTGCATGTGATTTCCATCTGGATTTCTCCAGAAAGAAACAAAGTTAATAATACTGACCRATTAAAATATAAAGAAAAAAAGATRCATCTTGTGGGTTCTCCTTTTCAGAGAAAAATGCTTGATTGAATTATCACTACTTTGAAAACATATTTAATAGTGGGAAAAAAGTGGGAGAGATTCTTCAGTGGAAACAATCAATATAGAATTAAG